TTGGGTTTGTGGAAAAATAATGCTTTGAAATATAAGACACTTTCAAAGGTTGCACAACATGTTCTAGCTATTCCTATATCCATAGTGGCTTATGAATCAGCATTTAGCACAGGTGATCGTGTACTTGATCAATTTCAAAGTTCTCTATCTCCAGCAACTGTTCAAGCATTCATTTGTTGTCAAAATTGGTTACATCATGGATAAATTCCAACTGATATTAGAAGCTTGATAAATGATCTTGAAACCTACGAAAACCTTGAGTCAGGTAATTTTTTTTAGAAACTTGCACCTTTTATTTTGTTATTTATTAATTAAATTGTTTGCAATCATCTAACATGTCTAATTTTTTATTTTATAGAATTTGGTGGAAAGTTACATTTAGTAACGGATGATACTTTAGATCTTGATTTCATATTCTAATTTATTTTATCATGTTATAATTTTAGATCTTGATTTCAAGTTTTGATGTCACTGGTATTACGGAATCAAAGTGCAATGTTCTTGTCATCTTGATGTGCTTTTTGATTAAGATGATATGCACAATGAAGATTTATATTTTTTGTGTGAATTATTTTATTTTTTATGGTAATGTTTTTTTTTTTAACCCTTTTGAAGGCAGTGCTTTGTAATTTTAATTTTAATTTGGTGTGTGTGTTATTTACACTTTGATGCATGAAGAGTCCAAACTCCAAAACATAAATATTAGAAAGGCTTGCAATATATTAAACATAATATTAACACTAATAATCTAATATAAATGAATATTTAGTGACAAAAAATATTAAATATATTATAGAATTTTGTAAGAAAATTACATAATATTTACATTAATTACAAGCCCATCAGAAAACCCATTAAAAAGCCCAAAAAATCCCAAAAAAATAATACAGGTTTTTTGGTTTTTCTATTAAAAAACCAAACTGAACCGAACCAAAACCGATCTATTTGAACCGGTTCCGGTTTGAATTTTCAAGTTTTTAAAAATTTTATTTTGGTTAATTTTTTAGATAAAAACTGAACCGAACCAAATTTGCTCACCCCTACTTTATATTTACCGATGAAATTTTCTGTCAATATTTGCACTATTATTCTGTTGGTAATTAGTTTACTAATGAAATTACCGATGAAAATACTTCGTCAATGAATCCTTTGTCATTAATTTTTTATCCGTCGGTAATAAAAAATTATTTTACCGATGGAAAAACATGCAAAAAAAAGATTATCCGCTTCATTCCATTGGTATTTCTTTCAATAGATTCGTATGTAATTTCATCGGTAATTATTTAAAAATATTTCAAAAAATCTATTTTATAAAACTATAAAATAATTAAATTAATATTAATCAACACTCAAAACACTTGAAAAAAAAAGACAAAGAAAATCAACTCAAAAAAATTTGCAAAAAATAAAAAATAAAAAATAACAAGAAAAAATAAATTCAACTAAAAAAATCATATAAAAAATAAAATTGCAATTGCTAAAAATTTAAAAATCCTATAAATAAATCAAATAACAATTGATCTCATGTGGAAAAAATAAATCCTACAACAACATTCATACACTTATTAAGAACAAAAAAAATAAAAAACAAAATAAAAAAGAAATATAGTGAAAACAAAAACACGAAAAAAGAAGAATTTTTTTTTTTATCTTAATATAGTTACAAGTGAAGTGAAGAAGAGGAAAAAAAATCATAAAGTATATTAATTAAAAAAATTAAGAAGAAAAAGAAGGAGAAAAATACATATTTGAGAATGGAGAAGAATAAAAAAAGGTGAGAAGAGAAGAGAAGATAACAAAATGGATATTGATATTTTTTAGATATGGGGAAGAAGAAGAAAAAAAGAGCCTTGTGTATTGTGAAATTGAGAATTCCAAACTTTTTATTGGGATGTTTTGTTAATGGTTTTACCGTGATGTAATCATATTATTCGATAGTTTCACCCATATTTACCTAATGTTTTGTCCATGTTTTATATGTAAAATGCCTTGATATTCTTTGTTTTATGTTTTGAAGGCACTTTTGGATGAAAAATGCAAAAAGGAGTAAATTGGAGATAATTGGCAGATTTGACGTTCAGTCAATGTTTTGTGCAGAGCGTGAGTTCTAGAGATCGAAATGAAGTGATTCTAGTGGAAATAAAAAGCTAACATCCATACCTTTCTGGAAATGCAATGCAAGAAAAATAAAAAGAGGAAGATCATGGAAATCACATCCTTCAAAGTCAAATCTCGCATTCTGCCATTGTTGACCTTTGTCTGTTCAAAATTCAATATCTGGAGCTATAGAAGTCCAATTTATGCAAACTTAATTTTGTTGGATTCCTGACTCAAAGGTATATAAACGCTCCAAATTTCATACAAAACAGATGTCAGATGAGGGAGATATGATTTTTCAAAGATGACAACTGAATTCTTCCAGCAATCAGGTTTCGTGAAGAAATGAGTCCAAATTACATTTCGAAGCTTCTAAACCATCATCCAAGTTTTTATATCAGCAATTTAGCTCCTCTAAGTCAGAGTTTGAAGATTTCATGCAAGGCTATTTCTCTTTTTTAGGGAAAATAGTTATAGAAGTACTTAAATGTCAATTGTCAACTTAAGGGAGGACTACTTTGTAAATTAGGAACTAGGGTTTCTTAGCATATAAAAAGAAAGAGAGAGAGGAGAGAAGGGGGGCAGCAGCCAGAAGTGAAGAAACACAAATTCTCTCCTCTACAAACCCAAAAAATCATGCTCTCTTCATTCTTTAAGAGTAGTTGTTCAATGGTTATGCAAGGCTAAGCTCTTTTCTTGGTTGCAAGGACACAACAAACCTTCGGATTTCAAGAACCGTGAGATTTATTCTTCCTTTTATTTTCAGTTTATATTATGAATAAGTATGGTTGTTTTCCTATGAATATTTTCTATGATTGTTGTTGATAATTGCTAGAGCGGAACTCTAAGTTATTATTGTGAACAATTTATTGCTAAGTTTGATATCAAAACCGGAGTTGTGATGTATGAACTTGTGAAGCAACTAAGCTTGATAATTGTGGCGGAACTACATTATTAAACTTAGGGAGAACACTCAAATATCTAGTTCTTAGGGCTGCCATTGAACTAAATCGATAGATAATTAAATAATAATATTTTTAAATATTCAGTCAGTGATTCTGTTGATAATATTTAATTTAATAAATTTTTTTCAGAAACCGCCAAATATAACCGACAACTTTTCAATCCATCGGTGATTCTGTTTATAATATTTAATTTAAATTTTTAATTTTATAAAAAAAATTTAGAAACTCGTCAAATAACACCAATGACTTTTTAATCCGTTGGTAATTTTGCCTTTAAAAAAAAAGTAATTAATAGTGTAATTAGGGAATGAACATTTTCAAAGTTCTCTAGAAAATACTGACATAAGTTTTCATTGATGATTTTGTTTATAATTGATATGATGAACATTGTTAACATTTTACCAACAGAATTATCAACGGATTAAATTCTATTAGTAATTTTGTTGGTAAAAAATGACAAGTTACATTTTTTTACTCTGTTTAAATTTTTTTCTGATTATAATTTTCTTGATATATGCTGAAAGTATATTTTGACCGGTAAAATCTGTATAGTAAGGATATATTTTTATTAGTAAAATCCATCCAAAATTTATCAAAAAAAATATTTTCTCAATATTCCTATTAATAATTACTAATTTTCTAGTAGTGCTCCACCACTCCTTCTTAATTTTGAAAGTGTCATAATTCTTGAAATTTAAAATGTGATGGAGGATCCTCTTGCGATGATTTTCAATATCTTTTTTCAATTTTAGCTCTTCAAGTTGCCACAATATTTAGCTATTTAGCTTTTCAAGTTGACACGATTCCCTCGATATCTTTATATATATATATATATATATATATATATATATATAAAGATCTCAATTCTCTTATTGGAAACTATTAAGGTCATTCGTCCATCCACTCTATTTAAGATATCTTACTCTTTATTCTTTCTAAAAGCTCTCTAATACAAACTAGTTTTGATATTATGTTAGAACTATTTAAAAGAAAAGAGTAAAAATAGAAACATGAAAAGCATAATAGAAACATGAAAGTATGATAAAAAACAAATCTCACTCGTATAAATATTATTCTTCTAAAAAAAGAAGTTCTAATAAACTTGAACTTAGACTTATAATTCTTCGACTATGTATATATATTACTTTAGAATAATTCAAAATACTTAAAAATTAAACATGCATATACTAAAGACAGAACTATCGAAAAAAAACTTCAAAATTACTTTCAATAGATTATTCCCAATTGAAACTCAGATTTTTCCCTTAACCCGGATCACCCACCAACCTCTTTAGCCATTCATCACAATGACAGGCAGCTTGACCCGAATTTGTTGACCCAGATTTGTTGGAAAATGGAGCTTCATAATTTTTTATTTGATTTTTTAAAAGTTATCTTAGTTTTATAACCTAGTTTAGGAGTTTAACATATTAGCTCAGGTTGATTTGAGTTTTTTTAATTGATTTTTTATTTTATTATTTAATATTAGAGTGGTTGGAAATTAAGTTTCATAATTGTTTTTATATGTTTTCTATTAAGTCATCATGATTTCATGATCCGAGTTGCGAGTTTAAAATGTTAATTCATATTAACTCGGTTAGTTTTTTATTTTTTTTATTTAATATTTTTTTTTAATTTCATCTTTCAATATCAAATTGATTAGATATTGATTTTTATAATTTATTTTGATTTTTTTTCTATAAAGAAAATTATCAAAGTTTCATAACTTGAATTGTTAATTCGATAGATTAATTTGAATTGATTTTATATATTATTATTTTAATGTTTGAAAAAAATATATTCAATGGGTTATATTTTGAATTTATAATTAATTTTTTATTTAAAAATATATTAAATATTTTTTTATGTTAAGAAATTAACTTCAAAAATGATAAATACATTGGTGCTTAGCATTCAAAAAGAAAAAGAAATTTAAAGGACCTGCCGTCAATAAAATTTGGTAACAAAGAAGAATATAATCGACCCAGTCAATGAGCACTTGCTTAGCTGATAACTATAAAAAAAGAGGCGCATGGACGGGCGCACCCACGTGTTAACTTTTCCACACGGTCATAATAATCTCGTCAACGTGTAAGCATCTTGTAGCTCTTCGTGCCCCCATCTCAATCAATATGACAGAACCTCTCCACGTGACAATCTTACAGGCATCCGCTCCCTCTTTACTCATTCCGTTTCCCACTTCCCGTGACGTTATTTATAAGCATCCACCGTCTCTCTTCTTTGCAAGATAAGAAAAGCCCTCTTGGAAGGAAAGGAAAAAAAATGGCGAGAGAGAGAAGGGAGAGAAGGGATCATAACCAGCGTTACAGGGGAGTGAGGATGAGAAAGTGGGGAAAATGGGTAGCAGAAATAAGGCAACCAAACAGTAGAAATAGAATATGGTTAGGTTCATATAATACCGCAGAGGAAGCAGCAAGAGCATATGATGCTGCTGTTTTATGTTTACGCGGGCCTTCGGCGACGTTTAATTTTCCATCGAATGTACCGGAAATTCCTGCAACGACAGAGATACTGCCTCCCGCGCAGATTAGGGAGGTTGCTTTGAGGCATGCAAGAAGGGGGAGTACTTTGGAAGCTGCAGAGAGGATTGTGGAATCTGGGTTGTTTGAAGGGCCGTCTGGGATTACTGGAGAGGTGTATTTGGGTGGCGAAGGCGATGGAGCGGAGAGTTTAGAGGGAGTTTCGAGTGGGGTATGTTATCAAACATCTGGTGTGTGGACAGTTTAAGTTTGTTCGCGGTGCTTCTTCTTCTTCTTCTTCTTTACTGTCCCGTGACTTGGGAGTGTCGATTGAGCTGATAGAATTAATTGACAGAGAGGAAAGTTTTGGTTGAAGGGATTGATTGGAAATTTGGGTTGCTAGAGTTGATATGTGTAGGGTCTCCCTTTTTCTTTGATGTAAACAAGTAAAAAAAGGAAAAAATGATTATACTAGTTTTTCTTTTTAATGAAATAACCATCTTTCTATGGCAAACGAAGAGGTTGCCTGCTGAGACTAGCTCGACACATGTCGCTTTTGATATCAGATTCTCATTTCATTTAATTATTATTATTATTTTTCTAAAGTTGATTAGGAGACAAGGAAAGGAGATGATTAGTGTTTCTTTAATGATGAAAAGAGCTTCTTAACGTAACAAAATGAATGCCTTTTTCTCTTAAAACAAAATCGCTCCACGTCTTGTTTTTGTAGGAGCTCGAATTATGAATAATGAAATCGACAAATGAACCTATGAAAAGAGATCAGGTCTGAGAAGAGGTCATGAGAAGCGATGAGAAGAAGATGATGTGATCCACCATGTCAAGGTGATTAATTATAAGGATTCATGATGTGATTATTCTGAAGAAAAACCTATAGTAGATTGTACTCGTAGAAATTATAAATTAGCAAATATGTGATTGTTAGAAAGGAAATGTATTAATAGGAATACAAGTTGTTTGCTTCCGATTTATTATGAATAATTTATATAGAGTTTCAAATTATAGTTCATGGAATTATGTTGAAAAAAAAGTAATTTATCTCCCGAAGAGGTTTATAATTTCTTAAATAAATTTAAAATATAATATGAATACATTAAAAAAACTAGACGTTAGGTTTATTGACAATACCAAATCCACCTTGAAATTCTTCAAACATCAATTTTTGACAGTTGATTATTGATAAAAGATAATAGGCTTGTTTGTTTTTTTTTTGGCTAAAAAATTGCTTATACTTTAGTATTTTAAAAATTAACTAAAAAAGTATCAAAATATTTTTCATTTCATGAGAGAATTTTTATAAATTTTAATTAAAAGATATTTAGGATTTATACAACCCCTATGCTTGATGACATCTTGAATATTTTTCTCATCGAATCTTGATGGTTGATCCTAATCTACACAAAAACTAGAATTATAAAAAAAAATTTAGTTGCAATAGCATATTCATCCTGATCAGAAAGTTGTCTTTTTTTTTCATGCATTTGAAATAGGTTCTCAAAATCATCTATGAATTTGTAATTATTTTTTTTACAATCCTTAAGGCTCTTTACCTCTGCTAACATACAAGTTAATTTTGAAATCTATCTCTGAATATTTTATATACCTAGTTCTTGAACACCTCTTTTAAATTTTATAATATGTCATTACATTTCTTCTATCACCAGTTCTTAAATATCTCTTTTAAATTTTGTAATATGTCAATGTATTTCTCCTATCACCAGTTCTTGAACACTTCTCTTTTGATGAAAAACTTATTCATCCTCTCTTGTTCAAAGATGTTATACTTTACGATTTCATTCAACTATGATTATTTCAGCACATAAAACTAAACATCAATAATTATTGAGCTCTAATATCAACTGATGTAGATGAAAATAACACAAGAAATAAAACAAGTACAAGTGCAAGAACAAGAATATATAATTATACTTCTTGTTGAAAATGAAAATTAAATGCACCAAACAATGTTATTTCAAAAGTATGGTGCAACTGTCATCTCCCTCATGCATGTATGATTTTTTTTCTTTGCAACTATTTTTAGCCCAACTTTAAATACAAGTTTCTCTTTCTCATATGAACATTAAATGACAACAAACACACCCACCTCTTCCTATGCACTTGTATTTCATTTTCATCTAAAGACCCATTTTATTATCTCCATATGATGGTAGAAAATACATGCCAAAGTAACCAACTTAACATGTTGTACAAAGTGCACAACAATGGTGGATGACCAATATTGACTCAATAAGATCAATAAACAAGATTATCCCATCTAAAAAAGTTTTAGGACCTTTCCTAAAGACATGGTGAGAGAGAATTCAAACTTGAGAGAGAGATAATGGGTAAGAGAGGTTTAAGTGCAAACCAATTTGAATAAGAGAAAGAAAAAGGAAAGGAAAGAAAAGAGATCATGCCCAAACACCAAAAAACCCAAATTATAAGGAAGAAAATAATGTGATTTTTTTTATCATCAAATTGATTTATTTAAAACCAAAGAGTTCTAAAGGGTAGAAAAAAGCAGGAAAAGGAAGTATTAACCATAGATAAAAGAGAAACCTTTATTTAGAGAGAAAAAACCACCATAATCATCTCCACCACTAGCTACCTAACAGCCATTATAAGCCTGTATAGCACCTCCACATTTTGTTGAAACCATCATTGAAGTAAGTCACAACTCTTTTTCTTCCTTTTTCTTTATTTAGGGTTTATGAAAAAATAGTGTATAATGTTACCTTTTATTTTAAACTACAGGAACAAGATTAAAAAAAAAGTGTTTTTAGACATAGTTAGGATAAATTTAGACATTGCATATATTTTTTTTTATCAAAAATACAAAAAATATGATGGTTAAGTATGTGAAAAATGCATAGATAAAAATTTAAGTTTGAGCTTTTTAGGGTTTTTGTGTGTTATTTTAGTTTTTCATGCCTTTTATTTTAAAAAAATTAGAATAAATGTGATGATTTTGATTAGAAGACAAATGCATGAAAGAAAAACCAAAACTTGTGCTTTTAGATTTGCTTGTAATGACTTGGAATGATAAAGTTAGGGTTTTGAAATATGCTTTGTTTTTAGATGATGATGCATGCAAAAGTTTCTAATTCAAGTGTTGCATGCTTCCTTGATTATGAAAACAAATCATGACATGTTTTTGCTTGTTTAGATGATGCATGAATGAATAATATGAGATTTTAGATTTTTTATTCTTATGATTTAATTGTCATCTAGAGTTTTATTTCCTATGCATGTAGTTATTTTCATCTTCATGTTCATGCTAAAAAATATGTTTCAAATTCTATGTATTTTGGCTAAACCTCTCACAAAAAAAAAATATATTTTTGCATTTAATTAGTATTCATACAAGTTTTGTAATTAACATGTTATTTCCATGTTCTCATTTTACTATGGAATCTCCCCATTTCTAAAAAAATAAAAATTAATTACTATATTGTTTGTTTTCATATAAGGTTTTTTTAACTTGTTTATAAAATTAATTATGATTTGGTCCATATTAAAAAGGTTTTTATGGGCCAGCATTCCAAAACCCTTTCAAAAATTTAAAATAAGTCTAATATAGTGTTTTATGATAGTCAAATTCGTTATTAAATTCTTTTTTTTTATTGAATGAAATCAAAGTTCTTTATGCAAAATTGACAAAATCTCATTTTTATAGATTAATGTTAAGAATTTTATAAAATCAATAAAATCACCTATTTTAAGGATTAACATCAAGGATTTCTTAAAATTGTTAAAGTCACCTACTTTAAGGATTAATGTCAAAATGTTTCTAAATCAACAAAATCATCTATGTTTAGGCATTAATGTAAAACATTCTTTGAAATAAACAAAATCATCTATTTTTAGGGATTAACATCAAATTTTTATTTTATCAATGAATCTCTTATTCTCAAGGATCGACGCCATTTTTCATTAAAATAGATCATGAATAAACTTTTAAATAAAGTTAGGCAATCAATATCATGAATAAGATAAATTTAGAAAAATACATACCAAAGGTAATCTTTTATTTGAAAGGATATGGTAAAGATGATGTTTTTTTTTTTAAGCATAACTAACACAGTGCCTAAATTTCTAGAACTAGTGTCGTTTTAGAATTTCTCGTTTCCTTTAATTACCAAGTATAACTCCATTTATTTGTGTTTTTCCCTTCAAACATTCATCAAGTCCTACAATGTTTTTTCATAGTATGACAATAATTATGAGGAATTTTATTATATCAAAGCATTGCTTCAAATGCTTCTAGTCAATTCTCTATTAAGATTGAACATTAATTAAAACTATTAAGATTTATACATATTGTGTTTTTTATACTATTATGTTTTTTTTTATGAAAGGAAATAAATATTCTCATAAGAAGATGTGTGAATGATACATAGAACTAATAAATAGGTGCTTGTAAAATAATAAGTACACTAAACCCAATAGAGATTACTCATATCTATAGAAAGCTAATGTGACAGTTGTGTAAGTAATTTTTAAATTAGAGATCATTAAATTATATTATAATGAGAATGTTATATTTTGATATTAACTATATTTTCCCTTAATCAAGGGTAAAAAATGGGCACATATTAGGTATAACATAAACTATATGAAAATATTTAAGTTATTAGGAGAGGATTCATCACTATAGGTGAACTAGAGAAAATTTTCTACATGTTTTTAAGTAGTATTGATTATAAAATCCTTATGCAAGACAAAATGAAACTTAAAAAGGGTTAAATTTTATTTGAAGAATCAATGATTATGATATTGAAAATAAACATGATTTCACAAAGCATATATACTCAATGCTTAAATATCTATATACAAACATTTGTGATAAATGAATAATAATTACATTAAGAAACTAACTATTGAAAGGTTAAGTTAAACTATATATAACTTTCTTAATATTTGAAGAATCATAACATTTTAGTAGATGTTGCACTTAATTTTTAAATATAAATCAATCAGTTTTTGAATTGAAAGTGAGTTAAATTATTTAGCTCATATGATCGTATTATGATTATGATTATGATTTATAGTTGGTATAATATATTAGAAACCTAATAGGTCACACAAATTAAGAGTTACTAGTATAAAATTAAATCAAGATAATTAATCAAGTATGATTTAATTATAAATAAGTTTTGAAAATTAAAGACTAAAATTTGATAATAAGGGATTACAATTCTTGACTTAGAAAAATCAAGTAGGGACTTGATTGCACAAATTTCTAATAATTATCTTTAAATAATATATGTGATATTTTTAAAAGGAAAAAATGATTTTTAAAAAAATTTAATATGGAATATAAGGTTTTTTTTTCTATAAATAGAATGCTATAACTCATATTTTTCTTAACATATAAACCTAAAACAAAACAAAACAAAAGAGTTGGCTTATATCAATCATTTTTTTCTAAAAAAGTTCAGAAGATTTTTAATATGATGATTCATATAGATTATTATTGGAGATCAATAATTGAATGACTTATTAGACTTATGACAA